CCCGGACTCGCCGCCGGAGGATCGCGGCTTCGCTGTTTCAGCGCGACTTGGGCGCCTGGGAGAGAAGAGCGCCCAGTCCTAGAAACCGCTCACAGAAACCTTCCCGGCGGGGCGGCGGGGCGGGAAGCGCTGGGCTGGTTTCCCAGGGGGAGTCCGCTCTGCGGGTCACCCGCGCTGGAACCGCAGGCGGTTACCATTCTCTCATCTCCTTCACCTGCAAGGTGGGGAATAATAAAGCCTCAGTGGGGCTATGGAGGGAGAAACGGGATACTGTGCAGCCATTTACAGTGATTTTGGGAAAGCCTCAAGCAAAATGGGAAGGGCTTGCTAAAAGTTATGTTAAACAGCTAATTATATGCAGAGCATGATTACGTGCTGTAGAAAGATATGTACATCAAGAGAATGAGCTGCCACAAACCAAGGGAAAATATTTGCAAAAGGAGTATCTGATAAAACCCTGTTTTCAAAAATATACTAAAAACGCAAGAAAAGGAACAACAGTTGGAAAATGGGCGGAAGATTAGAACAGACACCATTTGTGGCAAGTAAGCATATGAAAAGATGCTCAATATTATAAGTCATTAACAGGTAAATAAATTTGGAAAAGCAATGAGATAACCACTACACGTTGTTGACCTAAAATAATAGACTGCCAACTATTTCTTCAGCAAAAAATGGTTTTCTTCAGGACCAGCAAAAATTGCAGTTTCGGAGTCTACAATCACATGATGCTGTGTACAAGTCCCCAGCAAAAATGGAAAAGAGGACACTTTTTAGAGGGGAAAGGAAGTTGGGCTGGATGTAGGGGGGAAAAAAAGAGTGGATGGCTTTTCATTGGTTGAGTTGCCAGGAAAGAAAAGGTCTGTCTGCTTCCTGGTGGCCCCTGCTATCGCTGCAGGCTGTGAGAACGCCCCCTTCTGATGTCCTGACTATTTAGGTTTCTCTTCTTTTGGGGGTTGCTTTTTCTTACTGTTTTTACATTTTCTCCATTTGATAAGATCTTTCTCTGAAAGCATCACTGATCAAGCCTGAGGATTTTTTTGGTACCAGTGGCCTTTTGTCCTTCAGTACCAAGAGGGACCTTTCCTGTGTGTAGTCTCACATCAGAGGGAAAGTGCACAGATTGCAAACCTATTGAGGTGACATTTGAGTAACAGCAGGCATAGGAGAGAGAATCATCAGGCATTTTAAATCTAAAGTTCGTATGTTACCAAGATCAGAGACACTGGAGAGCATCTGAAGCATTATGTCATCATCAAAGGTTTGGTGACAAACTTGTTGGGAGTTCCCGGATATCTTGGGAAAGCTGTTTCATCTGATGTCATCTGCTTCCATTCTGGGAAATTTTCACTTTCAGGTCACCAGATAATGTGCAGGTTGAATAGGGGTTTGACACTCTCTCTAAGTGCGTAATAATGTGAATCTAAGAGTCAGTTCCATGGAGTCTGGGGCACAACGTTGGTTGGCAGTGCTTGACGGGGCCTTTCTAGTGAGGGTGAATACAGAGTCTGTGGAGGTCTCCGCTCTAGTAGGGGAAATCTCTGGGTTGCCAGGTGTGATGCTTACGGTCTTCATTTCCTAGGAGACACTGAAAAGTTTGATCTACCAAAACATGGTTATTTTTAGTTGAAGTAATTAGGCCTTTACGATACTGGAATATCTCTTTTATCACTTGTGGGTCAAAGGGGCAGGAACCAAGTGCATTGGGTGTCCTGTGACTGTCTCCAAGGGTGAGGGTTTATGAGTTAAAAAAGGAGTGGATCTAAGATTCAGAAGGACCAATGGCAATGCTTTTGGCCAAGCTACTTGCAGGGCCTCTGCAAATTTTGCCAGTTGAATCTTAATAGCACTGTTAGTATGTTCAACTAAACCAGAGAGCTGAGGGTGGCCAAGTGCAGTGAAAGCGTTGTAAAGCCAGCCACATAGCGCAGGCTTGTTGAAGTACCGCACCAGTAAAACAGGCTCCTTGATGCACATACAGTTCGAAAGGAGTCTCCCAGTGGGGGTAATCTTTTCTAAAGGGACTCTGGCCACCAAAAGTGGTCGTAGCCTGTCTGCCAGGGAAGTCTTCAGTCCGGTGGGAAAACATGCAGAACTGGATTAAAGCAGATTCATGAGACAGAGGTAATTGTATGAAATTTGTTGCCAGACCTTGACTGGACCATTAGGCAGTTTAAAATACCAGGGAACACGGAACAGGCCTCCCCGGGTTGTATTTCACGCAGGTGGGACTCGTGAGGTAGGTACTTTCTGCAGCCTTGTTTGTGTTTCCCCACCAATACTGATTCACAAAGGCCGTCATTTTGTCAGTCAGCTAATGGTTAAACGCATATGCCGTGGTAAGGAGTGGGAATTTTATGAGTCTTGTAGGACTGGGTTGCCACTTGGTCCAAACGAGAGCTTTCTCTTTTTATCAAGCCAACAATTATTGAATTTCCAATCCTGTTTTTCCTTTTTTGAGGCCAATTGTTGGGCTTTTCTAGACAGTTTTTCTAAATTACCGTTTGAAGAAATACCTCTGAATCATGACAGAGATCAGCTGCTGTTGGTCCTTTAAGGGCAGTACTCCTTGCAGAAATTATCAGCAATGTGACTCCCCTGAGCTTCCAGGGAGTCAAGTTTAGAATTTCCCAGAATCTTAAATAATAGCTGAAGTGGCAGGTAAAAGTACTGCATCAGATAATTCCTGAACATAAGGCCATTTTAAATTTTATTTCCACTCAAAGTAAGGAAGCCACGTTGCTTCCATAACATTCCTAAATCACGCGCCACTCTGAAAGCATACCTGCCATCAGTATAAAAACTCAGTTTTACCCTTGGCTAAAGCACGAGCTTGCATGAAAGCGTCTCGTTCAGCCTGAGGGCCTGCAGCAGCCGTAGGTAACGCTGCCTCGGCAAGGTCAGACGGAGCTGAGCAGCGTGCCCGCACAGTGCTCGCTGTCCTCAGCTTTTAAACAAGAACTAATCGGCGAGCCCCGAGAAGTCAGCGTTACCTGGAGCAACTTCCTGAAGAGCATCACGAGGAACCGGGAGGCGGTCCTTGGATGCTGAGTGGTTGTGAGGGGCTTGGGCGACGGCCGCGGGGAGAAGGGCCGCGGTGGAACAGCTCCGGGGGGGCAGCGGACAAAGGACTCCGGCCGACGTGGGGCAGCCGAGCGCGATGAGGGAGCAGGAGGGCTTCTGCTGCGTGGGGCACAAAAGTGGTGAAAGGGGGTCCCACGGTGATCTTGGTGTCTTCACGAAAAGGGCAGTGGCATTAACGGCTCTAAGCCAAGGGGGTAACCCTGTACCGCAGGGTCCAGTCATCGCCTATAATCACCATAGTTAATGGTGGTCTCCATGTTTGGGGCTGAGTACCCCAAGGGCATTTCCTTTTTCACACACAGGAAAAGGGGAATCTGATCACTGGGGTGACCGAGGGCTGGTGGGCTCATCGAAGAAGGCCTCACAGGCTACGTGGTACCGTTCTTCCCATAAAATTGGGTAAAGTTGTTATTTTTTAGTAAAACATAGTTTGGCCATGAGAGAGACATCTGGTATCCAGTGCTGGCAGTAACCAACAAACCAAAGGAGACTCTGCATTAGTGCTGAGTTTGGGGTTTGGGGAAACCCAGGACAGCACAAAGCCCGTCTGGATCTAGGTGTCGCCCTTGTTCTGATACCAGGTGCTCTAAATACTGAACTGCCTTTGGGGAAACTGCAGTTTTCCTTTGGTGACTGCCTGTCGCGTTAAGGCTAAAAGCTTTAGCGAGAGGATGCCGTCTTCCTGTGAGCAGGCTTGAGGAGGAGAGCGAAGGAGCAGACCACCCACACGTGCAACAAGGCAGAGCCTCAGGGCGTCCTGGCATCGTCCAGACCCCCTGCGGGACTCGTGAGAGATGAGAAGAACTCTCAGCAAAGCCTTCAGGCGATACTGCCAGGTGAATGGCTTTTCTCCCCAGTGAAGGCAGAAAGGTATGGCTGGCTTCATCAGCTGGACACCAAAGACTGCACTGCGCACCACTCACAGCAGAGAACCTGCTTCCGGGGGAATGGGTGTGAGTGGCAAGCGGGTGCTGAGGGTGACTGAGCTGTTCAGTGCTCAGAGGTGCTGGACGAACCTCCGCCCTTAGTTCTCTCACCAGGAGAACGGAAGTGTTGCGGGGCCAGTAGAAGAGGTAGCGAGGCCTTCGGGCTTGTAGCCTGTTGCGGGCTGTGTGTCCTGAAGGCCTTCTTTCCTTACAGGGCACTGATTAATTCTGGGAAGAGGTTTTGAGGCTCCTGTCTGAATCTTGATGGGAGGTGTGCTGTGAGTTCTGCCCATCTCAGTTTGAGACTCTGCCCATAAGGAAGATGGCAGCTGATTCAACAGGGGCAAGTGGTCAAAGTTTCCAGAATCAGCTCCAGGACCATCAGAGATGGAGAAAGTGAAAGAGGTCAAAGAGTCATTAGTTCACCTGGTTGGGTGCTTTGATGACCGCTGTCAAGTTCTAGAAACTGCCAAGTTCTTTTGGGAGAAAGGAATTCTGGCAAGATGCTTCTCTAAGAAATCTCAGGCTAATTCATGGAGGTGGTGGAGGAACTAAGGAGGAAAGGGGCGCGTCCCTCAAAGGAGCTAAACAAGATGCAGTAGGTCCAGAGACAGACAGGAACCTCTTGAGGTTCATTTGAGATCCCTGCTGTTTGCACCGTCTAGCACCCTGAGGCAGGGGCTGCTTTGTAGCAGGGGGGCTGAGCCCTGAGACTGTGGCTCCAGTGTCAGGACTAGGAGAGATTTACCCCTGTCTGGAGAAATGTTTCTCCAAGCCAGTTAAGAGGGAGGATTGGGAAGAGCCCTGTGGTTCCTCTGAGCCCCGTCACTGAAGATGGAGAGGACCTGGGAAGGGCTGGTTAGCGGGCTGAAGTCGCCTAAAGCACGTGAATTTGTAACAATCTGTTTTCCAATCTCCTGGCTCTTTGCAGTAACAGCAGAGACTGGGAGGATTTGGGGTTTCTTCAGGAGCTGAAGATTAAGAATTTTGGCCGTCTTCCTTTGAGGTGACTCACTAGAGTGTGGGGGAGCTCGTCTGCCAGGTTAAATCTGGAGTGGATACAGTTTTCCAGTCTATCCTGGTCCCTGTTACTAGAAGGGAGAGGTCCCAGTTCTGCCCACTAAGAAACATAGAGTTAAAGCTACTTCAGTGGCATGATCATGTGAAAGGAAGGCCAGAATTTTCTTTCATAAAAATAATCTGAAGTCGATTACAACGGTCACGAACAGGCTCCTCCGATTGTGAGCAAGCCTGCGTTGTGTTCCAGTCGACAGGAGTTAGCAGAGCCCTAGGAACTGCCTGGCGAAGCTGCTGAGTGACCGTTCAAGGCTGATCATAGGAGTTAGTGGGCTGGCTTCCCAGTGTGGTTCTAGAGACCTTTAGAGATTCTGCCAATTAGTGGCAAATCCAGTGCTGGACGTGCCTTCACTGACACGCTGATGAAATAGCTGACATAAGCCAGAGAAACCAGGCTGAGAGGTTGGAATGGCTGTATTAAGGTCCTCAGTAAATGCAAGAGTATCTTCGGTTACTTCAGGAAATCTTTGACTGTGGCTCACAGTCCAGCTTCAGTCCAGGGAGTAAAAGAAATGAAGAGTTTAGCCTCTGGATTCTCAGAGGCTTAATTTTAAAGGAACGGGTTCTGATAAGTTCAGAGGAAAAGGGAAGTCTGGCGAGAGAATTAGTTTGGGGAAGCTGAGGCTTCAGAGGAGGTACAGACACAGAAGGGAATAAGGAAGATGGCACTGGGGGGCGGGCCCTGGGCGCGAGGAGCAGCCGGGGGCCAAGATGGCGCCAGACGCGGAGCAGGAGACAGAGACCAAGGAACAGGGGCCTGGGGCTCAGAAGCCACTTTACCTTTACCTGTTTGTTTGCCTTAGTTAATCTTAAACTTTTATTTTGTAGAGAGGCAATTTTAGGCTCTCAACACTGTTCAGAAGTCCCAAAATACCAATCAGAATAGGCATTCTGTTCGTTTTGAAAACTTTTGAGCTATTATAGTCCAGTTTGTTTTTAAGGAAATTAAATTTGGGGAGTTCAAAAATTCCCCATAATAGCCGTTGGTATTCTAAATTGCCTTTGGTTAGGTCATTCCACTTAGTTATAAATGCACATAAAAAAGGATCATGGTTTTTAAACATAAAATAAGCCAGGGTCCTTGTAAGGGGGCAGCCTCAAAATGTTTAGATAACTGGGGTCCCACTTCTTGGAGGTTTTTCTCTAGAGTAAGAGAATATTTTCAAACAGTTTAAACAGCTCAAGCAGCTCAAAGAACTTACAGGCTTAATATCAGGCAGGTCTCAGGGAACAGCCTTGGTTCTGGAGGAGCCAGAACCGCCAGGTAGAAGGCCCAGCCCAGCTCCTGTAGAACAGCCCCTATTCCAAAGGGATGGGCCAATGCTAAGGCCAGTTCCAGTGAAATAGTCTGATTTCAAAACCAGACCAAACTGCCAGCAAGTACTCACACACAGAACAAGGCCTTAGCCAGAAAGAAAAAACCTTACAATAGGTCCTGAATACAGCTTGGAGAATATCAAAATACAAAGAGGGCAGAAGCTTGAATCCAGGAGAAAGACAACTTCAAACTCGATGGTCAGCAAGAAGAGCAGTGAGTGACACTGGGCCCGGCTGTGGGCACTGTACTGCTTACTCACCAGCCCCAGAGCCACTGGGGGCCTTCTCTGGTCCCCACAAGGGCCACCAAAATGTTGGCCTAAAATGGACAGACTTCCAGCTATTTCTTTTCAACAGATGGTGCTGGGGACAACTGGAGTTCCACATGCAAAGAATGAAGTTGGAGCCCTACCTCACACCTTAAAAAATTAATTCAAAAAGGATCAAAACCTAAATATAAGAGCTAACACCTTATCAGCCAACATCTTATAAGAACATATAATAATAATCGTTCTGACCTCAAGCGTAGCAATGAATTCTTAGATGTGACACCAAAACCATGAGCAACGACAAAGTAAAGGTTGCTTAGACTTCATCAAAATTAAAACCTGCATCAGAGAACATTACCAAGAAAGAGAAAAGACAGCCTACAGAGTAGAAGATATTTGCAGACCATATATCTAGTAAGGGTTTAATATACAGATTTATAAGTCACTCCTACCACTCAACAGCCAAAAGACATCAACCCAATTTTTTTAAAGGCAAAGGATTTCAGCAGGCATGTCTCCAAGGAAGACATACGAATGGTCAATGAGCACACAAAAAAGTGCTCAGTAGTCTTGGTCATTAGCCAAAGGCAAATAAAAAAAAACCACAGTGAGACGCTACTTCACACCTACCTGGATGGCTATAGTTAAGAAGTGAAAAATAACAAGAGTTGACAAGGATGTAAAGAAACTGGAACACCTGAGCATTGCTTTTGGGAACGTGAAGTGGTGCAGTCGCTGTGGAAAACAGCTTGGCATTTCCTCAAAAAGCCGAACACTGAATTACCATGCGCCTCAGCAATTCCACCCCTGGGTGTACACTCGGAAGAACTGAAAACAGCAACTCAAACAGATCCTTGTGTACCACTGCTTACCACAGCTTTATTTACAGTACTCGAAACAACCAGAGTGCCCATCAGCACAGGAGTGCGTGAATGAAACGTGAGCTATACATACGTGGAATTTTATTCAGTCATACAAAGGACTGACGTTCCGATACACGACACAACATGGGTTAACCTTGTGAACAAAATGCTAAGTGAAATGAGCCACTCACAAAAGAACAAATACTGTATGATTCTATTTATCTGAATATCTAGAACGGGCAAATTCATAAAAACAGAAGGCAGATTAGAGGCTGTCAGGGCTGAAGAGAAGGAAGAATGCAAAGTTACTCCTTAATGGTTACAGAGTTTCTGTTTGAGGGTGATGAAAAATTTTCAAAACAGATACTGGTAATGATGGCATAACACTGTGAATGTGATTAACCCCACTGAATTGTACACTTAACATGCTTAAAATGGCACACAGTCATCCCTTGGTATCTTTTGGGGATTGGTCCCAGGACTGATCATGGACACTGAAATCTGTGGATGTCCGAGTCCCTTATATTAAATGGCATAGTGTCTGCGTGTAATACATGCACATCCTCCTGTAGACTTTGAACAATCTGTAGATTACTTACGAGACCTAATACAATTTAAAACTATATAAATAGTTGCTGCCATGCAAGAAATTGAAGTTTTACTTTTTGGAACTTTCCAGAAATCTTTTTTCCTTGAATATTTTTGATCCCTGGTTTGTTGAATCTGAGGAGGTGGAACTCAACAGACACAGAGGCCTGACAGTATTTATATTTTTTCAGCACAATAAAAATTAAAATTAAATCACTGAAGTCTTTTGGTGAGAAAGTAAAATAGTCAACTAGTTTGGCAGTTTCTTAGAAAGTTAAGTGTGTACCTACTATTTGATCCAGTCATTCAACTTCCATGGATTTACCTAAGAGAAAAGACAGCGTATGTCCATAAAAAGGGATGTACACAAATGTTCATAGCAACTTTATTTGTGGTAGCCCAATGCTGGAATCAGCCCAATGTCCACTGACATGTGAATGAATAAACAAGCTGTACAGTCATACAGTGGAACTCCACTCTGCAATAAAAAGAGTGAATGGTGCCCTGACCGTGGTGCGCTGAATCCCAAAGTAACAGCGCTGAGTGAGAGAAGCCAGAGGGGGAAAATACATACTGCATGAGTTCATTCCCATGAAATTCTAGAACACGCGAACCAGTCTACAGTGACAGGAAGCAGGCCAGCGGTTTCTTGGTGGTGATGGGAAGGGAGGGGCTGAAGTGAGGGACTACAAAGGGGCACAAGGTAACTTTTCAAAGGACAAATATATTCACTACCTTGATTTTGTGAAGGTTTTGTGAGTGTGTACATACGGTCATTTCTTATCAAATCATACACATAAAATATGTACTATTTGCCATATGTCAGTTATACCACAATAAAACTACTTTTAACCTCCCTCCACCAAAAGAATGACATCTGACTTTTTGCAAGAAACCATGCAAGCAAGAAGAGAACAAAGTAAAATATATTCTTTTGAAAGAAAAAAACCACATCAACCTAGAATTTTATACCCATTGACACTATCCTTCAAAACTGAAGGAGAAAGAAAAATGTTCTGAGAAGCTGAGGATCTGTCACTAGATGTGCCCTGTGAAAAGTGTTAAAAGAAGTTCTCCAGGGGGAGGGAAAATGATACGGGTGAGAGGTTCAGATCTACATAAAAGGAAGAATGTTAGAAAAATAATAAATGAAGGTAAAATAAAACATTTTATTATTCTTAATATAATAAGTAAGTGTTCAAAGTAAGAACAGGAACAATACGTTCAGTGATGGAGCGTATGCCATAGGTGAGAGGAATGACAGCGGTGTGCCCGGGGACGGCGGGGAGACTTAGGGATACTCCACCATAAGGTACCTGCACTGGCTGGGAAGCAGTATAATGCCACTTGAAAGCAGATTTAGGTTTGTCATAAATGTGTATTGCAAACTCTAGGGCAACCACTAAAGAAATTTTTAAAAGAAGTACAACTGATATACCGAGAAGAGAAAAATGGAAAAATGAAATGCTCAGTTCAACCCAGAGAATGCATAAAAAGAGAGGGGGTTTTAAAAAAAGAGACAGACAAAGAACAAATGCAACAAAAAGTAGTTACAGACATGGCAGGTCTCAATTAACTCTCCCAATAATCGCTTAACAGTAATTGATCTAAATATACTGAATAACAGACAAAGACTATCAGGTGCAGAACAAAACAAGGCCCAACTATATGCTGTCTACAAGAACCTCACTTCAAATACAGAAGCACAGATGCGTTAAAAGTGAAAGGATGGAGAAAGACACACCATGCTAACAGTAATCAACACAAAACAAAACAAGCTGAAACAGCTAGGCGAATTCCAGGCCAAGCAGACTTTAGAGCCAGGAAAGTTATCAAGGATAAAGAGGGGACTCACATAGTGATAAAGGGGTCAGTTCTCCAAGACAATGAAACGAGCCTTGATGTACATGCATCTAACACCAGAGGCTCAAAGTGTGTGAAGAACCATTGACAGAACTTCGAGGAGAAACAGACAGTTCCACTATTGTGGCCTGAAGTTTCGGGACTCCTCCTTCAGTAACTGATGGATTCAGCAGGCAGAAATATCAGTAAGAATTTATTTGAACTGACCAGTACTGTAATTAACTGGATCTCACTGACATTTCACCCCAAAACAGGAGAATACACAGTCTTCTCAAGATCACGTGGAACATTCACCCGGACAGACCATATTCTAGGCCATAATAAGTATCTTAACACATTTAAATAATAGAAATAATACCAAGTATGTCCTTAGATCATAGGAGAATTAAAATATAAACAAAAAACAGAAAGCTGGAAAAACCTCAGGATATTTGGAGCTTAAAGAATCCACATCTAAATAACAAAGAGTCAAAAAAAAAGAAGTCTCAGTAGAATTTTTTAAATATTTTGACTGGATAAAATAAAATATAACATCAGAATTTGTGGGGTGCAGTAAAAGCAGTGCATAGAGGGAAACTTACGGCATTAAATGCAAGTATTAGAAAAGAAAAAAGACCTAAGATCAATAATGATGTTCTTCCACATTAGTGACCTAGAGATAGAAGAGCAATGTTAGCCTAAAGCTAGATGAGAAAGAGAAATGATACAAATTGGAGGTAAAACTAATGACACTGAAATCAGGAGATCATCAGAGAAAATCAATGAAATCAAAATCCTATTCTTTGAAAAGATCATCAAATTGGTAGACCTCCAACTAAGCTAACCAAGGGAAAAACGAGGGAAGTCACAAATTAATTTCAGAATTCAAGGAGAGGCCATCACTGCTGATTTTGTGGACGTTAAAGAGGAAATTAAAAAAACACTATGAACAACCCTATGCCCCAAAACTCAATAACTCAGATGATAACCAGTTTCTTGAAAGACACAAACTACTGAAACTTACAAAAAAGTAGGGAGTCTGAGTAGGCCTACAGCTATTAAAGAATTTGAAAAAGGAATGATCTTACATAAGACAAGCCGCTGGGTCCAGACGGTTTCACTGACGAGTTCCATTTGAAAAAGAAATGGTACCAATTCTCCACAATCTCCAGAAACCGGAAGCAGAGAGATTACTTCCTGACTCATTTGATGAGACCAGCATTACCAAAATCAGATGAAGACATTGCAAGAAAACAATAGTATTTCTTATAAACATAAATATGAAATCACTCAACAAAATATTCACAAATCCCAATCCAACAATGTATACAAAGAATCATAGAGCATGATCAATTGGGACGTATTCCAGGCATGCATGGCTGGTTCAGATTAGAAAATCAATTAACGTAACCCACCACATCAATGAGCTAAAGATCATATCAATTGATGCAGAACAGCATTTGAGAAAATCTAACACCAATTCATGGTAAGTTCTCAGCAAACTAAGAATGGAGGGGGACTTCCTTAACTTGATTAAGGGCACCTACAGAATCCTGCAGGTGACATCACACTTAATGGTGAGAAACTGAATGCTTTTCCCTTAAGAAAAGGCCCAAGGCAAATCTTGTCTCGCCACTCCTACTCAACATTGTACTGGCAGTCTTAGCTAATGCAATAAGACAAGAAAAGAAAATACAAAATATACAGATTGGGAAGGGAGAAATAAAATCACCTTTGTTCACAGATGACATGATTCTGTTCGTAGAATATCCCAAAGAATTAGCAAAACAGACAGAAAACCCTCCTTGAGCTAATTAGTAATTTTAGGAAGGATGCAGCAATGAACAGCTGAAACTTAAACCAACACCATTTGTATTAGCATCAAAAAATGAAATAGGTATAAATCTAACAAAACATGCATAGGGTTTAAGTTTGGAAAACTACAAAATTCTGATGAATGAAATCAAAGAAGACCTAAATAGACGGAAAGATATTCCAAATTCATGGTTGGAAAAATAAATATTGTTAAGATGTCAGTTCTTCCCCACTCGTCTATAGATTCAATGTAATACCAATGAAAATGCTAGCAAGCTATATTGGGGACATGGACAAGCTGATTCTATGTTTATGTGGAAAGGCAAGAAACTCCGAACAGCCAACACAATACTGGAGGAGAACAAACTTGGAGGACTGACATCAGCTGCCTTCAAAAGTACAGAGCTACAAAGATCAAGACAGTACGGTGCTGGCGAAAGAGAGACACATAGATCAATGGAACAGAATGGAACACCCAGAGGAGCCACACATCTACAGCAGACTAAGCTTTGACAAAGGAGCAAAGGCAATTCAATAGAAGAATGGTAGTCTTTGCAACAAATGGTACTGGAATAATTAGACATCATATGCAAAAAAGGAAATCTACACATAGACCTTTTACGTTCCACAAACACTAACTAAAAATTAATCATAGACATAAATTTGAAATGCAAAACTATGAAACTTCTAGAGAAAACATAACAGAAAATCTAGGTGACCTTGGGTTTGGTGATGAGTTTTTAGATATGACACCAAAAGCATGATCTATAATAGAAAAATTGACGAGTTAGACTTTATTAAAATGAAAAACTTTTGCTCTGGAAAGAAACTAGTAAGAGAATGAAAACAGACTTCACATACTGGGAGAAAATGTTTGCAAAGCAAGTATCTGATAGAGGATTTGTATTCAAATATTAAAAAAAACTTTAAAGCTCAACAGTACAAAAACAAACGACCCTATTAAAAATGGCAAACTATCTGGACACCTCACCAAAGATGGCAAATAAACATATGAAAAGGTGCTTAACATCATTTGTTATTAGGGAACTGCAAACTAAAACAACGAGTTGCTTGCTTATTGTAGTCATCACTACACACCTATCAGAATGGCTAAACAAACAAAAAAACTGACCATACCAATTGCTGGAGAGGATATTGAAAAATAAGTAACTTTTTCTTTGCTGGTGGGAATGTAAAGCGGTACAGCCACTGTGGAAGAAAGCTGGGCAGTTTCTTAAAAACCTAAGCACAGTCTTGCCTGTGACCCACTGATTGCACTCCTACGTATTTACCCAAATGAACTGAAAACTTATGCCCACACAAAAACCTGAACATTGATATTTATAACAGCTTTATTCATAATTGCTAAAAACTGGAAGCAACCAGGACGTCCTTTAATAGGTGAAGGATAAACTACAGTACACCCAAGCAATGGAGTATTATTCAGTAATAAGAAGAAATGCCACAGAATCACATGGAGGACCCTTAAATGCGTATTTCTCAGTAAAAGAAGCCAGTCTGAAAGGCTACATATTGTTGGACTCCAAGTATACGACATTTTGGAAAAGGCAAAACTGTACGTACAGCAAAAAGATCAGTGGTGGCCAGAGGCGTGGGTATAGAAGGGGAGGGACGAGCAGGGGAAACGCAGGGAGCTTCAGCACAGTGAAGCTGTTCTGGGTGACACTGTAATGGTGGATACTTAACATCAGATATTTGTCAAAACCCATAGACCTTTACCACACACAGTGAACCTTAATGTATGCAAATTTTTTTAAGAATACTTTAGGAGGTCAGGAGATCCAAGGAAAAAATGCAGACCGTGGCAAGAGAGTCTAACTGTACTTCCAAAGTATAAAACGAGCTCACTGCGGAGCGTGGAGGGGCAAAGGGGCTGACCTCAGTCACGCGGACATTTACAGGTAAGAAAGGGGAGGAAGGGACAGTGGGGCAGGGACAGCGTCGAAGACGGTAAGCACTTCGTGTAGATACAGATGGCTACTCACAGGAATATTTATAGACGTACGTATACGCATGGGTTGGTGTGCACACGGACCGCCCCTTGCTCTGTCAGTTGAGGGAGCCTGGAGGACCTCACACCATTCAGTGGCAGCGAGCGCGCCTGGCGGCCGGATCTTGGTTTCTAAAGGCGTTTCCAGCGGAACAAAGCTGAGCAAGATAATTGTGTAAAGTAGTAACAGATTATAGCCTGAAGTGTAAAACAACGTCCATGAGTGCATACTGACACAGGCAAATGACTGAATAAATAAATAAGTGGGGAAGAAGTAAATCTATGCAGAAGAATTCCAAATAAATCATGTCGATATTCCAGTCTAAAGATGGGGAGCGTAACTCCCGCTCTTTAAGTGTGGGCGCCACAAAGGGACTTCTCCCCAAATAACACAGCAGGCAAAGGGGGAGAGACGACACGGCTGTTTCAGCTGCTGGCCAGGTCAAGCTCAACGCCGACACTCATAAATCACGTTGACAGCACGTACCCTGGCTGGGGTGTCCTGAAAATGGCACCTCCCCTCTGCAGTCTTCCCCCCCAGACCCATAACTGCAGTCTAACCATGAGAAAACTTCGGGCACATTCATTAGAGGGACATCCTACAATGTACCTCACCAGTATTCTTCAAAACCGTCAAAGTTGTCAAAAACACGAGTCTCTGAGAAACCTCACAGATAAGAGAAGGCTAAGAAGACATGAGAACTGAATTTAACATGGTTTCATGGATGGGATCCTGGAACTGGAAAAAAAAAAAGACACCAGGAAAAAGCCGAAGAAGCTAGAGTGGTTAATTTGAAAAAGTCACATTTGGATCCACACGGCCCAACTTTAAGACACTAATGAGCACAGTGCGGAACAGCAAAGGGACAGACACAGGCCAACGAGAGAGAGGAGCGGAGGGAGCAGAGCCGCACCAGCCAGCTAGCTGATGACTTTCAGCATTTAGAAAACTAACAGGCCATTTTAAGAACAGTTCAGGTTTACAGAAAAACTGAACAGGCAGCACAGTTCCAGACCCCCTCAGACACAGTCCCTCCCGTCACCTCGCGTTGGTGTGGTGCATCTGCTACAATTCATGAACCAACCAAAGTCCACGCGCACATCTTAGCGGTTTGCAGTTTTCAAGGAATTGGTCCATTTCATTTAAAGCTTATGTGTATAGAGATGTTCATACAATTATTTTATTGGCTTATTGGCTTTTTAATGTCTGCAGGTTTGTAGTGATATCCCCTCTTTTCATAATAGCAGTAATTTGTGTCTTGTTAGGGAGGGTGTAGCTCACATGGTAGAGCACGTGCTTAGCATGCACGAGGTCCTGGGTTCAGTCCCCAGTCCCTCCTCTAAAAACAAACAAACAAACCTAATTAACTGTAGGTCTGACTCCAGCCTCCAGACTGCAGACTGAGAACCAGGAACCGCTCAGGTCCCAGACCGGCCACTGGGTGGCGACCACAGGCAGCGGATCCAAGCCGCACGGCAGAGGCTGAGAGAGCTGAGCTGACCGGGAACCACAGCCAGAGCCTAACCAGGCTGATTACCTGCTGAAACAAAAATAACAACTTTCTCCATGGAATTTAAATAAGGCCCGGAGCTTCCCAGCAGTGATTGATTACTGGAGCATTTTTATAATTGGAGCTGCTGTGACGTCTCTGTCTGATCACCCCCACATCTGTGTCACCTTGGTGTTAGCACCTCTTGATTTTCTTCTCCCATGCCAAGTTGAGATTTTTCTGGTTCTTTGAATACCAAGTAATTCTGAACTGTATTCTAGCTACGTTTACCATTATGCTATTAGCAAACAGAATTCATGGGGATGTAAAGAAGGTAACACACAATGGCCAGGTTTCCCAGGAAAGCAAGGCTCGTTTAAGATCAGGAGAGCAATCGCTGAAATTTACTACATCAACAGATTACAGTTAAAAACACGATTATCTCAATATATGCATAAAATAATGGATAAATTGAACAATTCATCATACTAATGCTGAATCCTTAAAAGCTTTCACGTTGACATCAATAACAAGATAAGCATGTCCATCTATTGTATAGAAGGTTTCCCTAAAAACACAAAAAGGCAAAAAAAGCACAAGAGTTGTAAAAGAAGAAACAAAAGTATTATTCATAGATGAATGATGTGGACATCCCAGAGCTGGAGCGCCCTCCCGTGGGCCCCCGCCGACAGGTGCAGCGCCACCGCTGCCACATGGGACACTCAGAGCCGGTGCGTACTCTCTGTGGTCTGTAGGGAGGACGAGGACAGCCTGGGGGCACCTCTGACAAAGGAGAGAAGCGGGGACGGAGCGGCAGGAGGAGGGGCGAATTCCCTTCCCTGGTTCTCTGAGAACTGACATCCGACAGTCCTCGCCGCCCGGTCCTCGCGTGTGAATTTACTTCCACGCGCACATGAATACACACACGGACGACAAGTGCAGAGAACGCGGCTAAAGAGCACATCGCCACACTGGCCAAGTCACCTTTCCGTGCTGCTGCTTCCCTCGTGTCCCCGTGCTTTCTGCCCAGTTCTCACTCTGCAGCTGGGACAGGCCCCCCTGGCTCTCCGCGAGCTCCTGCCGGGCGTGCCGAGCGGGCCCGCGCCTCCTCACTGGGGTTTGCAGCGGGCAGCCTCCGCCGACGGGCCAACGTCCCTCCCCAGGACGGCAGCCGCGTTCCTCTGCGGCCGGCCGGCCGGCAAGGCGACCCCTGCGTGGGAAGGCGTCGGCGACGGGCCTCCGCGCTGCCGTCGCGGGACCCAGCGGCCGGGGGACCAGCACGAGAGGAGCGCAGAGCTCCGGCTCCGGTTTCGCCGAGTCGCGCGGCCCGGGTCCCGCCCGCGGCCTGAAGCGCGACGGGCCAGGCGAGCTGCGAGCGGCGCCTCCAGGGCAGCGCTCCCCAGGAGCAGCTCTGCGGGCTGTGCTCGGCCCCACGCTTTTTCCCTCAGGCTGATTTACCTCTGACCTGCTGTCTTTGTTTCCACCTACTGTGGTTGGGGTGGAAGCGCGGAGGGGAGGACGAGCGCAGGGCCGCGCACTCCCGCGAAGCCCTGCGGCGCGCGCCTCACTGGCTCCCGGGGCCGCGCGCGCTCCGTCCAGGCGTCCGCGCCAGGCGCCCGGAGACGCCAGAGCGGCAGGCAGAACCGGTACGCGCCAGCTGCCGGGCCGGAGGGGCCGGCCTCCAGGCCCCGGTCTAGGGACGCCGGAAGTCCGTCTGAGGCCCGTGAGCTCGGCTGCGCCTCTCGTCAGGGGTTCAGGGGCTCATCTCGCTGCGCTTGGACCCGGGCTCGGCGCCACCGCTTCGAACATGGCGGGGGGACCAGCGGCTCCTTTCTGCAAACCCACTCCCGGCCCCTGTTTTGCTGGTCAATATGTGGCCACACTGGGACACTTTCTTATGATGCAAGGAACGCTTCGAAGAACGGATGGAAACGTGGATCGTAACTCAGCAGTGGCCTTCCCCGCCACCCCGGCTCGAGGTCCGGCGGAGAGGTCGGCGCGGTGACGGTGCCGCCCCGCCGGCCCGCCCCGCCCCCGCCGCGTCCCTCAGGGCCCGGGGAGGACCTGGGCGTTCGGGGCCTGTGGACCATGGGCCCTTTCTTACCCAACCCCGGACAAGAAAGTCTTTCTGGGAAAAAAACTCCTCTTGGTCACAATTCGAGGAGACCAGCGTTGGCAAACGTTTCAGTGCATCACCGCATTCACAGCTGAGAAGTAAGATCTTCAGTGTGTACTCTTTTAAAATAGAGACCGTTTACAAAGGTTAAGAGGTCATTCGCAAGGTTCACTTTCCCCCGATTTTACGACACACAGTTGGAGAATGTGATGGGACAAATCACGTCCTCCCAGGATGAAACAGGCAAACTGTATTAAAGTCTCATCCAATCTGGTTATTCCAGGTGAGCGGTTTTAACTGTTCTCCTGTAAACAGAAGCAGTCCCTGCTGTGCCTGGAATGACTGGGCGCTGACGCCTGCCCTCGGCCAGGGCCGCACCCTGACAGGTATCCACCTGATCACAGGCACGGACTTTGTTTTCTTCTCCTCCAGGCAGGACTCACCCCGCAGGGGGAAGAGCTGGCCCGAGCTCCCCAGTCTGAGACCCGTTACACCCGGGGGTGACAACAGAGAAATGAGGCCTGGGATGGTCCCTGTGCCCCGCACCCTCACCGGCGCTGGCAGGGAGCTCCGTCCTTTCAGACGCCCTGTGAAACTTTCATCCTCTCGACGGCAGGGTGGCAAACACCCCCTGTCCTGGTGGCCGTGGGGACGGCACAAGGGACCGAGCCCTGGAGTGGGAGCCCGAGCAGCAGCAGCAAGCCCTACAGGCTCGATCTGGGTCACACCCCAGCAGGGAAATGCACAGAATGCTGAAGTGGTCTGTTTCAGGTCGCTCTTCCAAGAACAGGAGCTTGGGAATCAAGTGGTGTTCTGGCCAGGTGCTCATCTCCCAAAGCCTGTGTTCTTACCTGCCACGTTCGAGAGAGGCGTCTTTTTCACCCCCTGCAGATGGTTTTTGGAGGGTCCCACCCGGATGTTGCGAAAGGGAGGGTCCTCTGTGAGCTCCAGGTGGTTGGCCGGCCCTGAGCCCTCTAGCCCGGGAGGCGGTGGTTTCTCCGCGGAGGAGGGGGAGCGGGGCAGAAGCCCCCCGCCTCGGCCCAGCAGCCAGGGGCACCTGCACCAGCTTGGGGACAAAGCCTGGCTTTACTTCCAGTTAATCCCATGTGCCCTTAAATGCCCTAGTTCGCTTGGGCTCCCCACTTCTACCCAAACTGCACAAAAACCTGGGAGTTTTCTTAGGGTTTTGATTTTAAACCTCAGGAGGTGAGAGGCCTGGAAATTCTGATCTGCCCACCAGCATGGGAGCTTCTGACCCTGCCATTTTGGGGTCACTGTCAGGATAGCGTCCTGCACGGCATTGCGGACCTCTGTCCGCCGGGAGAGCCGTGTCCTAGGCAGTTCGGAGCCCTCACGGACCCTAGGCCCCCAGCAGGCTCCAAAGGGGCTGCTCCTTCAGCTCACATTTACACAGAAGCTTTTAAAACTGTAAGTATCTAGATTCAAACCAACCACGTCACATATGTGGTTTGTTTTAAGAAAGTGGTAATGATAAAGTCCTGCTGTTTTCTGGTCTCCACGGCTGCTGTTGAGAAACTGGCTGTCAACTAAGTGGTTGTTCCTTCTCAGGTGACCTGCCTGTTCTTTCCATTTTTCTTTTGTGTCATGCAGTTTCCCTGTGCTCTGTCTGGCCCAGGTTTTGCTTTATTTATTCTGCTTGAGACATGTGATACTCGGTAAATCTGAATACTAACGTCTTTCGTAAATTCTGGGACATTCCCCGCTGTTGTTACTTTTGAAATCCGGCACTCGGACGCTTTCTCACTCCAGGGATCCGGTTTAAAATGGAACGGGTCTTTGCGCTCTGTCCTCGGTGCCTTTTAATCGCCCCTCACCCCTCCCGGCCCCCATCCTTGTTTGCTCAGATCTAGCTGTCAGTTCCCTTGTCCTCTCTTCATCTGTGTCTAATCTACCCTTTAACCTGTCCACTGAGTTATTTTTCAAATCTGGTCACTTTTGAAAATCTCTTGTATGTTGCTCAGTGTTTGATTCCATTTTTATTTCTTAAAACATTTTATACGCCATTATTTTGTGTCAAGTGTCTCATAGTGGCCACATTTGAAACTCATGGGTGACAAAGTCTGTTGCTTGGCTGTTTCTGCTGCTTCTCAGTCGTGATGTTTTGCTTCCTCATGTTTGGTAACTTGGGGAGCTTCTATTAAGCTGATTTAATCAGGGGCATCCTGACAGGAATGAGATGATGTTTTCCTCCAGAACAAGTTTGTTTATTTCTTCCTTTACTGCGGATTGTCATCCTTTGAGGGCACTTAACTTCTTTTGATTTCCCCTTGCTCTGTAGATGTGGGTAGAATAAGTCCCGCACAAATTCCGAGACCCTACGATACAGGAGAGAGATTTTTCTACCCAGAGCTCGGATGGACATGGGGCAGCTTCCTGTCCCCCTGTAAGGGCGGAGTTGGGATGGACATGGGTCAGCTCTTGTCCCCTGTAAGGGCGGAGCTGGGATGGACATGGGTCAGCTCTTGTCCCCTGTAAGGGCGGAGCTGGGATGGACATGGGTCAGCTCCTATCCCCCTGTAAGGGCAGATGTAATTTCCCTCCTACCTTCTCACAGGGTGGGCCCCTCTGTGGGAAGTCTCAGTTCGGCTGCCCGCGGTGCACAGACGTCGTGCCCCTCTCTGCTGGAGTGTTGATCACTCAGAGTACTGATAACACAGTGCACTGATACCAGCACATGGCCCTGAGGCAGCTTGATTTCTGCATTCCTTATCATTCTGCCATCAGCAACTCAAGAGGTTTCTGTTGCTATGGGGCAAGGTTCAGGGTCAGGATAGGACAGGCTGGGATATGCCCCGACATTTCCCCTTGCTTCTTATGACCTGAGCAATGCACTTAGAAGTGTGTTTGTTGTGGCTTGTCTGGCCTCTGGAATTTTGCCACAGGCGGGCTTCTGAGAAATCTCGTCTGCAGAGAGCAGGAAGTGAACGTCTCAGTGGGGTTTCCAACCTCAGAAATGCTGCAAAAGCATCCTTGACCCACAAAACATTCAGCCCTTGCCGAGTGGGGGGCCTCACTCAGGCTTCTCCTCTTCCCGCTGTGAGCGCCCCTGTCGGGTTGTGGAGGGTCATTCCTCAAAACAGCCTCTGTTCAGTGCAGCCCCCCACCAACGGCTTCATGAGCCTCAATGGTTCTGAGCACAAACTCTGGAAAAGGCTGACTTGGTGTGAGCCTCAGCTCTGCCACAGGAAGCAGGGGGGCCCTGGCCAAGTTCCTGTAACTCTGAGGGGCTCAGTTTACCCAGGTGTAAAATGGAGATGATAGTAAAATCTTACAGGCTGCCAGCTCGTGCCGGGAGAAATCTGCACAAAATACAGCCGTTCCATTAGTGACGCAGGGGTTCAAGTGACACGTGATCTGATTCCCGAGAAACTCAGTCCTCAGCACATTTTAATAAAGCTGATGACTGAATGCGTTTACACTTCAAAGCACCCATCCCTCTTTACAGGAAGAGATAGTGGGAGGCAAACAGGAATCGGACCTACCAGTGTCCACAAGCCAAGTCAGGACTGGCTCCAGCCAGGGGCACCGCAGACAGCATTTCAGCTCTTCCTGGGGCCTCCAGAAAAAGACTACAACATGCAGGGCTGAGGGCCCCCGGGAATCTTGCACAACCAGCGGGCCCACTAGGAAGGCCTGACCCCCTTCTTCCACAGGTGAGGAAACTGAGGCCCAAGGCTTGTTCAAGGTCAGTCAGTCAGTGCAGAACCGGGACTGAGCCCGGGCCCTGGGCCATCCTCGGTCCCCGTGCCGCCCTCGGTCCCCACCGGGCAGAGTCCTCCTCTTCTTATCTAACCCATTTGGTGAGAAAAATAATTTGATGTGTTACCGCACCCTTTGTTCAAATTCTGTACACCTCTGTGTGTGTTTTTATGTCACCATAATCCTACTCCAAAGTCAGTTTGTTTTGCTTTCACTGGAGTAATTCATGTTTCCATGTAACGCTAACCCCACTTGTTGAATTACTGAGCATTGCTCTGCCTGCAGTCGCTATAAAGCCACTTAAGCGAAAAAGGTGATGTACTTACTGCCTTTTGTGACCGGAGAACTGAGGAATAAAATCCTGCTCCAGGCAGGGATGGGTCCAGGTGTCAAGGATGTCCATAGGAAGCTGCCTCCATGGCTTGGACGAGGTCCCCTCAGCGTGGCTCCACTTGCAGACAGACAAGCTCTCCATCGTGGCTTCCGGCCAACCCGACATCACAGCCCCAAGTCCAGAAGCAGGAAAAGCCTCCTCCTCCCTGAGCTCAAGCTCACGGCCTGGCGCGGGTTTCCTGGGGCAGGGACACTGCGCAGTCAGCTGTGCTGGTGCCCCTCCTGGGCGCCGAGGAGCCATCACCCCATTAAACCACACGGCTTGTGGAAAGGCCACGTTTCCCAGAGGAAAGCCTGGTGTGGCCACGAGAAGAAATGGGGTAGGTGCGGGACAGACGGCGACGACCGTTCACGACGCCTGCCGTCTCAGCCCGGTGTGCGGCCACGACGCTGTCACCACCCGGGTCCCAGGCACACAGGCTGCTTCCAGAGAGGGACTGGTACTCGGGCTCAAACCCCACATCCAGCCTCTCGAGCTGAGGTCCTTGGGGAGTGTCTTAACCGAACTTGGCTCAGTTTCCCAACCTGTAACGTGGGGGTACCAGAGGACTTGCCCCCAGGGCTGACATGAGGATTCAGTGAGCTAACAATACATGTGGAGAATTTATACCAGCCCTGGCACAGCGTGGTTTCAGCATCTGATACACGTTAGCTATTATCATTCACTGTACAAGTAGCGTCCCTAAGGAAACAAAATTTAACTCAGCAAGTTGCTTTTGCTCTGTCTGCAGCATTTCCTGACGTCCGTCCTGGAAGCGGAGTCGTCCGGGCAAAGGCTGAGAGTGTGTGTAGCTCTTGTTACTTGTTGCCAGACGGTGTCACAGGCGGACTGCTCGGTGCTGGGGACACCTACGTGATCTCCAGCCCTCGGGTCGGGTCTCGTCTGGGGTTAGAACCTTCCTTTAAGGGCAGAACAGTACAGCCCGAGCACAGGTCTGGCAGACGGAGGGCCGCCTGGGTGCGGCCGCCCCATGGTTCCTTCATTGTGGGCCCCCAACCTCGTGTGCCTCCTCTCTCCTGCCCCCCAGACCTGTGTCCCTTCCCTCTCCCATGCTCCCAGCTGCTCCCAAACCCGTGACACCTTCCTGATCTCAAGTAGAGAAATTTCTTTCCTCTTTTTTTTTTAACCAACTTCCACCCAAACCCTAACGCTGCATAACTAAGGAGAACTTCCTGAATGTTAAAAGGCCCCTAAAAATGCTCCTAAGAAAAACGGTGCCAAGGCTTAGAATAACCTTCTAAGGCTGCCATCCACTCTTACCACCCTGCCTGAGTGGGTCTAAGTGTTTCAGTGGGGAGACTCTAAAACCAGTGTAACGGGGGCCCGGGGCCGGGGGAGCTAATGAGACATAACCGGGTCCGAGCATCCGGGTGCTCACAGCTTTGCCTGGAAGCCAGGGTGAACATCCCGCGTGTTCAAGGCCAAGCTGTCCCAGGGAAAGGGGACTTCGATGACCTGCACGAGGACAGGCGGGTCTCAGGCCGGTGGGCAAGACAAGCATGTGCGGGAGGCCGCTCACCCACGTGTGCGGCCTGACCGGACGCGGGTTGTGGTGGGCCCAGGGCCGGGCCCGAGTGCCAGTGACGGCTCCTGCCGCTTACTGAGGTGAGGAGGCATGGGAAGGAGAAGGCCGAGCCCCGCCGACGACGTGCTGGATCCGAGGTGCCCGGGAGACAGTGGGCAGAATTCTCCAGGGGGACCAGAAACTCGGCAGCACTCAGGAGACAGAATCCGATCGGCAGCAGCCCAGGGAACGTGCAGGAACTTCTGCCACAGAAAACTCAGGCAAAGAGACACACAGAACAGAAGGCAGGCCTTGGGGTGACGGTGACCTCCTGGCCCGCCAGGACCCTGCTCCCGGGCCAGGCAGGAAACACTGGCCGCAAAGGGGCTTCGATGAGCAGCTGTGAGCCCGAGAACTGCATGGAGACACTGAGGGTGACAAGAGCCGGGAGAACCCCAGCCGAGAAGCCGATCTTTCGGGGCTGACACCCTGGACAAGAGGCTGGCCCCCCAGCATCACTGAAGGTTTCACCTTCGCACATCGGGCTAACTGGGGCTTTTTAAGACGGCGCGCCTGGAAATATACATGACGGTGCAGAGAAAACCCCAAATCCACAAACCTCCATAACAGAGAAGAAAGAGAAAGTCTGCAGACAGAAGTGCAAATGTGTGTGTGACAGGTCTGCCTCCGACACCACGGTGGAGGCATTTCCGCACTTCCGTCTCGCCTGACTCCCAGGGAGACCGTAGAGGAGACAGCCTGGCAGTCACCGAAGGGGAATCTGTGGGTCTTGCATCAAGACTTTTGGGTGAAGATAGAATCAGAAGCTAGGACTCAGACACTGAAGGGGAGCATGTGGCTGGGGAGAGGTCCCGGCGCCCCAGGGACGGTCTCTGCCGAGTCGGGACTGCTGCGCTCTGAGCGCCCATGAGCCGTCATCGTCAAAAGACGCTTCACCCTGTGGATTCTGGGGCTGGTCCCCAGGGGCTGTGGGAGGAGTGTGTTCAACGTCTGGACCAATCAGGGAGCTCCTTCTCGTGGACAGACACTCAGAAGTAAGCACCTGCTGAGGATTTTCTGACCATCGCAGCACATCCAGGATGAAGGCTTGAGAAGCTGCAGCTAACCTGGCATTTAGGGAACCTCTACGTGAAAGATACTCGACAAAACAGAAGGTGGGAGATTGTGAAGAAGCAGCTTCTGGAAAAGACGCCCAAGAACAGGGCCCGAAAGAGAATCCACAGCAGGCAGGTCCAAAGTCTGGAGAGAATGATCTCGAGAGAACTGAAGAGGACGAGTCTCAGCCTGCTCTGGGGAGACACTCCCGCTACAGAAGCCTGCACCTCGGGTCATTCTCAGCAGTGCTCCCTGAACACATGCAGCGACAGGACGCCTGCGGACTAGTGCTTGGAAACGTTGCCGTCACCTGCACTCGGCGATTTTAAAGATGCGCTAAGTGGCTGCTCGATTAAAACTTCACAGTCATGATGCCAAAAAGACACAGAAGTCAGTCCCAGCGCAGCACTAACACTAGCCGTGAAGAGATTAAATGTCCCTATGAAAAGTGGAAATTTGAGTTATGAAATGAAACGAAACAAAACAAAATGAAATTTGAGTTATGAAATGAAACAAAATGAAACCTGACAGATCCAGCTCTGTGCCCAGAGAACTATCCACAAACAGCACGACCCGTGAGGCCGAAAACAGGGAGACGGAAAGATATGAGAAAAGAGAAGGCATCAAAACGGATGGAGCCGGAGGCCGAGGCCCCGCAGAGGAGGACCAGCACAGCCTCGGCGCCCAAGGCCCGACTGGCCGGAGGCCCCGGGGGCGCAGACATGCAGCACCAGACGCACGCCTGCTTTGTCCTGGGGTCGTTTATTAATGACACGGGCCTGCACCGCCGGGGGCGGGGACGGCGGGGGGGGGGGG